AAATAGAAATACCTTATGATCCAGCTATCTCATTTCTGGGTATTTCTCCAAAGAACTTGAAATCAACAATCCAAAAAGGTTTATGTACTCCTATGTTCATTGCAGCATTATTTACTACAGCCAAGAAGTGGAAGCAACCCAAGTGTCCCTCAACTGATGACTGGATAAAGATGTGGTGTATATATATACAATGGAATACTGCTCAGCCATAAAAAAAGACAAAATCGTCCCATTTGCAAAAACGTGGATGGACCTGGAGGGTATTATGTTAAGCAAAATAAGCCAGACAGAGAAAGACAAACACTGTATGACTTCACTCATATGTGGAAGATAAACTAACACACGGACAGAGAGAACAGTTTGGTGGTTACCAGGGGGAAGGGAGTGGGGGGTGGGCACAAGGGATGAAGGGGCACATTTATATGGTGACTGACAAATAATAATGTACAACTGGAATCTCACAATGTTATAAACTATTATGGCATCAATAAAAAAATAATTACAAAAAAATGAGTGCATTAAAAAAAAAAAAAAACCTTCCTGCCTCTGTACTCCAGGCACAAAGACTATCTTATAGATCATCTCCACTCATACTCTTGATAATTCAGACTTGTAACTAATGTTGGACTTAACTAAGCCAAAAAGAGGAAAGAGGCTTTTGAAGATCATTTGCAGTGCTTCATAAATAAAACTGTAATTTGCTAAATACAAAAATTTTACAGGTTAACTTAATGACAAGCCAAAACTACAAAAATTTAGAACTACTACTCATAAGTTGCAAAATGCTACTGTCATAATAAAAGAAAACTCATCATTATATGAATAACGCATCCTTAGTATAGTGGAATTAGTATTTTATTTGTAAAATAACACTCAAGTGATGGAGAGTTGCCTACCCATCTGGTCAGCAGTATACTGCACAGACTCACTAATATAGGGTGTGAGGCTCTATTTCTCTAAAGATACTTTCCCAATATTATTTCTTCGGTGTGTCCTGTACTCTTTATACCAACAGAGCATAATGAATGAAGGAGGTACAGAATAACCTGTGGAACTTATAAAAACCACAAAACTTTCTCTAAGCAACTGTTACAACCATGAAAAATCATGTAGGCATGAAACAGGAAAAAATAACATAGCCAAAGGATAAGAGTTTGAATTTTGTACTGGTGGTGAGAGGGTCAGTGAATTTCTTCTTTCTTGTGATTTCTGTTCATGTGGTTTGGGCAATAAATAAGAATTAATAAGTTAAATGGTGTTAATTAAATCAGTGTGGTGCGGGCATAAGAACAGACAGATCAATGAAATGGAATGGACAGTCCAGAAACAGATCTTGGTGTAAGAACTTACGGGTAATAAAGCATGCATCACAAACAAACCAGGATGGAAGGAGGTGGGGAACAGAATTTATCTAACAAATGGTACTGGAGCTACTGGTTAGCTATTTGGGAAAAAATCCACTGTGATCCTTACTTCATGCCATACGTAAACCAAAATAAATATGGATTAAAAATTTAGAAGCATTAAAACAAAAAACCTAGAAAAACCCATGGTAAATATTTCTGATTTCAGGATGGAAACTATTTTAAAACAGGGGCAGAAATTACAACGAAAAAGATCAATAGATTAAAGCCATAAAAATTAAACTTTATAAAAACAATAAATCATCAACAAAAAATAAACTGAAAAAGTCAGCAACAAACATGACAAAGGGTTAAGATCATTACTATACAAACAGTACAAACAAATACATCAAGGAGAAAATAGAATGACTAGTTTACAAATAAAAAATTGCTCAGGTTCACTAGCAATTAGAAAAAAACTTACCTTATCAAATTATAGGGCCAGCTCCGTGGCTTATCGGTTAAATGCGCGCGCTCCGCTACTGGCAGCCCGGGTTCACATCCCAGGCGTGCACCCACACACTGCTCCTCCGGCCATGCTGAGGTGGCATCCCACATACAGCAACTAGAAGGATGTGCAACTATGACATACAACTATCTACCAGGGCTTTGGGGAAAAAAAAAAAGGAGGAGGATTGGTAATAGATGCTAGCTCAGAGCCAGTCTTCCTCAGCAAAAAGAGGAGGATTAGCAGGGATGTTAGCTCAGGGCTGATCTTCCTCACAAAAAAAAACAAAAAACAAAAAATCAAATTATAAAAATTAGTAATACTCAAGGATGACAAAAATGAAATTTGAGGGGGCCGGCCCAGTGGCATAGTGGTTGGGTTTGCATGCTCTGCTTCAGCGGCCCAGGGTTCACAGACTTGGATCCTGGGCGCAGACCTACACACTGCTTATTAAGACATGCTGTGGCAGGCGTCCCACATATAAAATAGAGGAAGATGGGCACAGATGTTAGCTCAGGGCCAATCTTCCTCAGCAAAAAGAGGAGGATTGGCAATGGATGTTAGCTCAGGGCTAATCTTCCTCACCAAAAAAAAAAATTAAAAGTTGAGCATTCTCATTTACTGGGCAAAGTGTTAACTGATGGATTTTTTCCAAAGCAAGTTGATAGCATAAATCAATAACCTTCCATTTGCATAGTCTCTGACCCAGTGATTCCCTTTCGAAAATCTAAGGAAATATTTGTACATGTCGACAAAGATTTCTGCCCAGTTTTATCCAAGAATATTGTTTATAATATCCCAATACTGAAAAAAACTTAAATGTCCAATATTAAGGAAATAGTTATGAAAGTATCATAAATCCATAATAAAAAATATTATGGAAACATAAACATTATATTTATGAAGTTAATAATATAGAAAGTATTTAATGTTAGCTTTAAAAGCAGAATATAAAGCTTTATATAAAGTATGATAATTATTCAAAGATAAAAATGCATAGAAAAGACTGAAAGAAAATGTTTCAAAACATTACCAGCGGTTGCCTGTGGGTGGTAGTAGTATGGCTGGTTTGTCCTTTGACACTTTACTGTATATTCTAAATTTTCTACAATGACCATGTGTTATTAATACACCTTGATAACTAGAATAACATAGAGCACTAAAAATAGAATTTTAAAGAATAAGCATATAATGCTGACATATATATGCAGACACACATAAATACATATAATTTATTTATATTTCCACTACTAATTTATTACTGTGCAACTAACGTCTTTATAAGCACATTCAATTGAGTAACTCAGATAAGTAACTGGGGTTTTATAGCTCTGGCCTATTAGCGTTTTATTTGTCTTAAGAGATCACTACTGAAGAACACCTAGAAGCTATTTTACTTCAGGGCTTAGTTGGTTACCAAAGATTTATCAGTTACTTTCTGGAAATGCAGAGCACACATAGCTCCTGCTGTGGGAAGGACAAGAGCCTGGCACAGATGTCGATCCTCCACAGACCAGAAAGCCTCAGCTCGCTAAGGACATAAGCCAGCGGCAGAGGAGGCAGGCAAAGTGGGGCTAGGAATACGTGTTGGAAGAGGGAAGCTGGACTGCGAAGGGAGAACGAAGAATGGCAGAATCCACCGAATGCAGAGATTGGAAAGAAAATAAAAACAATGCAAGATTAAAATAGGAAATATAGAACTGAAAAAGGCAAGAAAAAAAGCCTAACTCTGAATAACAAGGAGGTTATCTGACCATGTTTAAAAATAAAGGGGGTAAGAGACACCAGTGTAAGGTAGGGGACAGAAGAAGAGCAGAACCAGGGTGCAGCTGACACGTCCAACTGGCCACTAGGGCTACTAGTTTCTCATTTCTGCAGCTCTGCCAACAGAGAAACATTCGAGAAAATGCCAGCACTTGTTAAAAACAATATGTGAAGAAATATTTGTTTTCTTAATATTTAACCAACAGGTTTGGCTATGTTTTTGTGTTTTGAAAAATAAAAAAGGCTAAGGCATATACACAGAAACACAGCACACACATTTTATCCTATTTTAAGCGTCAATGTGTTTGAAACAGCACTTGAGAGTTGATTTAAGTGTTACAAATAAACTTGGGACCATAACACTGATGAGCACTAAAATCGAACATTCTACAGAATACAGAAGGAGTCTCTGCCCAAAATCTAGTTCTCTATTCTGTAAAGACACATAGCCCTAGAACTTCAGGAGGCATTTACAAGGTTAACCTTCAGAGCCAAGTCTGCAGGTCTGTTTTGCATATTTCAGCATCTGACCACTAGGGTGGTAAGCGCTTCACGTGACAACCAAGTAGCCACATCAGAGCCAAAAGTTACAGTCTGTTGCTTAAACTTGGTACAACCTTGACAATTTTTGATATGTCTACATTCCACCTGTACTATTATTTACTTAATATTTTCTTCAAATCAACTTGCTTCTTTAAAAACTGGAATACCTACTTTGGGCTTGTAGAAAAATAACCAGTTTAATGTCTACTTACATTTTGAATACATATTAAAATAAATGCTTAAATACTTAAATAAAAGTGTGTCTCTACACCATCTAAAAACATTGCACATGCCACAAATGGTAAGGTGTACCACCCTTTAGAAAAAATACAATCCAATCCCAATTTCGCTAACAAAGTAAATCTTGAAATTGTTCATAAATGTTTACATTCCAAGCTTTTGTTCCCAAGGCAACTACAAAAAGCTGACATTTTAAAATTTCTAATCACTACAGCTCTAACGTGCTTGTTTACTGTACAAATATTATATGCCACAAAAAATGAAACTTGCAAGAAAAATAATATGTAAATGACAATAAGATATATATTTTCCCCCCACAGGATTTCCTTAAAGGAAGCCAGTCTATAAAATCCTTGATCACACCACCACTTGATAATTTATCATGTTTTCTTATCATATAGCTTGCATACTTACATAATTCTTATGTAATCTAACTTTCAAACATGTATATTTTCTCTCTCACAGATATACTTATTATTCCACTTTTTCTTTCATAATCCTTTCCCTTCTTTGTACTTGTCATTTCATATTACAAGTGCTTAATAAATGCTTGTAGAACTGAACAAAATCAATACAAACCAAATCTTATGGCCACAAGTTGCGTGTTTGTATCAAGCAAAAAGAGACTTTTATTTTTAAGTTCTGTGTTTCCTTAAAAGGACTTTGTCATAGCTTTTATATACTCTGGGAAATATACAATGATTAGAGAAGTACATGTCATAGTAATTTTTCTTATACGTACTCCAGAACCTCAAACACATACAGCGTGGTGATAGCTTAAAGGGTGTAATCTAGAGATTTTGAAACTTTATAAATTAGCCTTTAATAAATTGTACTAAGTATTTATTTTAATAAAAAAAGTTTGCTTTTCAAAGACATAGGTATTTCATTGTTACCCCCACCCCTTAAGACTCACACGAAAACAAAACACTTAGAGCAGAAAAAAAGGAAAAAGTCAAATGAAAAGAAGAAAAGAAAAATTGGTTCACAGCATTTGATTTACTTCTGGACTCTCTTTCTGGTTTTTGAACCTTGAAAAGAAAACAAAGAAATTTAAGTCATTAATCATTAATTTATAAAAGCAAAGAAGAACAGAAATATAAGTATTTCCATACATTGTTATTAATATTAAAAACCTATATGATGATTTGTGGAGATGAAATTCATACACCAAGATAAAACTGTTAATACCTTGAAAATCTCAGGAAATTGTGTCAGTTTTTTAATATGTCAAAAAATATGCTAACAAAATCTACCTTCTAGTCTTACGTTACAGCAGCACTCTTCCACGGGTCCAACGCATCCCATTTACACTGGTACTGAAAGATTTCTCCCCCAAATTTTTATTGTACAATTTAAAACATTAACTACTAATGTAAACCACAGCAGCAAGATAAGTATTCATCTCTTGAGGGAAGTGCTGAGCTTACGCATATTATGAGAAGCAAGGAATTTTATTCTAAATGTGTCGCTTTTTAAAGCATGTTACCTGTACTCTTTAGGCAAGAGAGCACCAGGCTATTCCAAAATGCAGTCTTTTCCACTAAGAATTAAATAGATCCCAACTGAGCAGCCTTCTAGAAAAGCATCACATCTGATGCTGGTCTAAGTTATCTTAAGACAGTTCATATCCAACTATTCCCGGGTTGGAATAAATCACTGATTCTTTCTTGGGGGCATGGGAGTTCTGCCTCACCAAGCAGACTCTGTTCCCAACTACCACCCCATGCCACCTCCAACTCGAGCACAGCAGAATCAGAGGATATGTTGAAGCCTGATCATGACGGCCTAGTGCTGGCAAAGGAAGTGCACCTTCCCACTACCTTGTGCTTCCGTCTGCCAGGAAAAAGCAACGGTACAAGTGCGAGGGGCAGCAAGGGAGCCTGTAACTAATCAATGAATGCACTAAACAACAAAGAGATCAATACTTCTTGTCTGACATGTACAATACATTCTTTGAATCTCAGACAAAATATCTACCACATATGTCTAATAATAAACAGTTCCTAAAAGTTTTCTGATTAAAGGTTTATTTAGTTACTTAACTGGAAGATTAGTTTAAAAATCAGAGTTTTTTATTTTTCCAAGTTCTAGCTTCTATTCAATTGCCATACACTTCAGTTAAAGCAAACTTCAAACTTATATGAATATCTTTTTTCTGCCAAGCATAATGCATGGCCTATACTATGGCTGGTTTAAACTTTTGAGTTTTTCCTTCAATTTTTGTGATATAGCCTTCTTTTTTTTGTGTGTGAGGAAGATCAGCCCTGAGGTAACATCCGTGCTAACGCTTCTCTTTTTTTTTTGCTGAGGAAGACAGGCTCTGAGCTAACCTCTATTGCCAATCCTCCTCCTTTTTATTCCCCAAAGCCCCAGTAGATAGTTGTATGTCATAGTTGCACATCCTTCTAGTTGCTGTATGTGAGACGCAGCCTCAGCATGGCCGGAGGAGCGGTGCGTCGGTGCGTGCCCAGGATCTGAACCCGGGCCACCAGGTTTATATTTATTATATAATCAGTATTATGCAACTTGGAGACTTTGCTGCATTTATCAATTCAATATTTTCCCTAATAATCAATTCTGATTGTTGCAGAAAAAATCTATTTCTCTTCTTGTCTCTTTAAAAAATATACTCGTTTTTGGCCGGCCCCGTGGCTTAGCGGTTAAGTGCACGCGGTCCGCTGCTGCTGGCCTGGGTTCCGATCTCGGGCGCGCACCGATGCACCGCTTCTCCGGCAATGCTGAGGCTGCGTCCCACATACAGCAACTAGAAGGATGTGCAGCTATGACATACAACTATCTATTGGGGCTTTGGGGGGAAAAAACATAATAAATAAATAAAATCTTTAAAAAAAAATATATATATATATATACTCGTTTTCATAATATGCTACTATTGGTAAAAGGTCCAATCATAAGACTAATATGTAAAATGTAATATTTGAAAAATAAAATATACAAGTTTGGCATACTCTTCTGTGATTTTAAATGCAGAAGGAAAAAAACAAGTGGGAGATTTCTTTGTAGGGTGCCCTTAAAAAAACCTCTTTCTTGACCACAGATATTCAAGAGTTAAACATAAATCATGTTTTCCTCAGAGAATCCTCAAGAATGGTCCAAAATCCAAGGTACTTCAAAAATAACACCAATAAGAGTAGGCTGCTGAGTACTGTCCATTTTATCAACAGTAGGGACAAAGTATACTAGCCATAAATATCATGGCTACGTTAACTCATTTTTAGTACAATTCTGAAATATTGGCATGGTTTTGAAATGCCAGAATATGCATGGTTTTTTAAGGCTTATCATTTTGTGGGGGAAAAATTACTTGCAGCAAATAACCAAATTTTCTCAATTGGTAAAAATTACGCCTTACATAAAAATAAAAGGATTAGAGGCCTCTGTTCTTCTTGAAAACCACCCTGTCACCCCTTCTCTTTCTTTGAGAAAACCTACACAATACACATTTTGAAAGCTTTCAGAACGTGTTCTTACACAATAGACCCCCAACTAGTCAAAATGAGTTTAGGTGTATCAAGAAAATTATACACGTTTTTAAAATGGTCTAAATAGATATTAAAGGAAAGTTGCTCCCATTTTGCTAGGCACAGCATTCTGAAAGATCACACAGTGAGAAAAATCTCTTACCATATTGTAAACCATAAATTGTGTTTGAAAATAAAATTGTTAATGAAGAAACTGACATTTCTAAAGCCGCTGTTAGAGGTAACCATTCTTGAAACACATTTATGACACAAAATCTTAAAGCTCTAAAACACAGAATTCACTGAATTATATTATATATTTCTTTAAAAAAAAAATCAAACGTAACAATGCACCTTCTCCTTCAAGTTACTTTCAACTGATGAATACAAATACATACATTTTCATGAACTCTTGTTTTTGGGGTTTTTTTCTTTTTTATGCTAGAAGCGATAACATTTTACCATATCAGGTTATCATGTAATATTTCTCTCATTTTTGAACATTTAGATAGTCAAGTACCTTAACTAGACTTATACTTTAGGGGAAAAAATGAATTACAATGGGAAAATAAACAGCATTTAAATAAAGCAATTCAGAGTTTATGTAACTAAGGGAGAGACTGATTATTCTTTTATTTTTTTAATATAAAAAAAATCTGAATTGTTCTCCTTAAATTAGCAATGGAGACTACTCTCTTGTTTTGCCATTAAAAAAATATAAATTAATATATTTTTTCACAGTATAAGGACCTCAAATTAAAATTTTAGGTACAAAAAACATTTTTCATAATTATAGTCGAATTTAAAATTATTTATGTATCAAAACAAATACCTCTGATGCTCATTAGGCAAAGTTCATGTAACAAATGACCTCCCAGCAGTAAGAGAGGTGTGAGTCGTTGCCACAAACAGCTGTGAATTTGCTTTGGTCTAAATGGGGATCAACCTTACTGTAGCAACGTAAGACCTTTCCTAAACTAAAATTGCCAGTTTCAAAGTTTAAGAGATCTTTTTTTTCAAGTAAGAATATTACTCTATAAACGCTCCTTAATTCTGCTCCCACTCACTGTCATAGCTGCTGCTGCTAGCCTCTGGCTGAGACACGCTTCCATGTACTGCTCCTCGGGACTCCTCACTTCCTAATAACAAAGTGAACAAGACAGGGGAGGAGGGAAAAAAAGAAATACAGTAGGGAATGGAAGATGGCAGCCGAAAAGAGAGAGGGACTACTCCAAACCCTGCAGCCTCCAGAATGAAGCTATAGACTCCCCTGCAAATGTCCCAAGTATTCTCTTGGGTAAATTCACATAAACCTAGGGATGTTCTATCCATAATAGATAACGAAGAAAATGTTAATAAAATCAGGGCAAAGATGATTCTCTTTGAAAGAGGAATTTTTGCTTTCCACAAATATGCACCGGTGCCACTGTCAAATATATCATTGGCCTAACTCAACAGGGCACTTATGCTTTAATGAAATTTTTACCAAAAATAAGCCTTTTCTATTAGAAATCAAGAAACATTTCAGGACCAACAAAATAATAAACAAAAGGCAGGCAGAGAAGAGATGTCATCTATAAAAACAAAATGGTACTATAGCCAGCACTGCATGTTTCTTCCTTGAGTCAAGGAAATCATCTCTTAAGAAACCTGGCACACATTCTTCCCTTTTTTGAGCCACCCATAGGTGTGCCTACACATCACAGACTGGCCCTTTCTTAACCAGACCGAAGTCCAACCTCATTCTGCCCTTTGCACATGTTGCCTTTGCTAATGCCATTTCTGGAACTACTCCATACTGGAAGTGCCTTCAGCACCAGTTTATGAGCCAAGAAGTGACTGTATACCTTGCTTTTTGCTCCAAGGGCTTTGAAAAGTGATGATTCGAGGCTTTAATTCCTTGCATCCCAACTAACTGAGAGACAAGAAGAGCTAGCAGACTTTGTGGGGAACAATCAGGCAGCTGCGGTAAGCCATGTACTATCCCCCCAGAGTGCATACATGCACACATGGACCAGTGTGCGGAAACAGAAAGATACTGGCCTGAGAATTAAGAGTTCTGCTCTCTACACCTAACCCTCTCACAATGGCTGTGTCATTTAAATGCTCAGTGTCTCGGGCTCCATATCTGCAAAATGAGAGTAGCTCCCAACTTCCTGATTACCGTGAACAGCAAATAACACAACGTGTGTACAAGAGACATTATGATACATACCACACAAATATAAGGTCTTCGCACACGATATTTTACTATAAAATCACAATATTATGACCCAAATAGTTAACTCCTTATCTAGTGGAAGGAGATGAAATTTGTGTTTATATATGGAACAAGTTAACAAGCAAGACTATTCAACTTACGAGTTTGTGTGGCCTCCTTTGTCTGTGTATTTGAGCATTCCATATCTTCAACACTAGGTTCTGCACTTTCCTCAATTTCTTTCTTTCGCTTCTTACATTCAAAAATTTAAAAAAAAAAAAAAGAGAGAGAGATGTGGTCTGATGGTCAAATAAGCAAATATACAGACTTACCATATATTAGTATATATGTGAATCTATACAGGTGTGGGTGTGTCAAAACATACAGAAAGACGATACACAGCTTCAGGGTAGTGGTGATTTAAGGGAAGGGATGAGGGATGGAAGAAAATGGGATTAAGAGAACCTCCAACTTTACAGTTGGTCTGGATGGTGGCTATATTTGTTATACCCACCTCTAACTTTTTATCTTCACATAGTTCATCACTGAAAGCCATGTTTTAACCATCAGGACTGGTTATACAGAAACTCTCTTTTAAAGCAAAGCGTTTTACAAATTTGATTCATGCAGGCCAATGATACTTACTCTCCCATTTTACAATGTGTATGGTGGGGAGAGGGGGTAAATCTACTCGATAAATGGGAAAATATACACCTTGTCCCATACATTGTATCAGTGGTTATACTTTACAAATTGGTAGTAAAATTCTATTCATGAATCAATAATGGCAAACTTCTAATAAATTTTCTTTTGGTATATTTTTCATTAGAAGTTTAAGAGGGCCAGGGCTGGCCCGGTGGTATAGCGGTTAAGTGCATGCACTCCGCTTCGGCAGCCCAGGGTTCACAGGTTCGGATCCTGGGCGCACACCGATGCACCGCTTGTCAAGCCATGCTGTGGCAGCGTCCCATATAAAGTAGAGGAAGATGGGCACGGATGTTAGCCCAGGGCTAATCTTCCTCAAAGGAAAAAGAAAAAAAAGTTTAAGAGGGTCATAAACCTTACTGTAAAGGAAGGGTCTTAAAATTACATAGCGCTCCTAAAATCTCAAAAACTAGTTGGATTTTCCCCCATTCTCTCAGTTCTTTCCTATTTTCTATTTATTTTTCTAGTTGAGTGTTACTTAGGAGTTAATGCCAATATTCTGTCACCATCCATTCTTCCCAAATTGTCGTTCAATTTCTTTTTATTACTTTCTATCATTACAACATTTCCTAACTAGTTCAGTCCTGTGCAAAGTTTTTAAAGTACTTAACATCTCTATATGTAGGTATAACTATAGAAGGACATTAGTAATAAATTTAAAACATTGTATTTTTCATATAACTTTACCCCATGTAGTCTCAAACTTAAATGTGTTAAAATCCAAATTATAACTCAAAGCTTCTCTAGGTTGCCTGAAATAAGTCTGTACCATTTAGGAAATCATCTGATACTTTCCAAATTTCACAACGCAACAGAATGTTCTTGCTTATATTTTCTAACAATTAGCCTTAAGTTAAACTTCATCTAGAATGTTCCCTGCTTCAGGCCATTCTGTGTATAGCTATGAAAGAGCATAATACCTGCTGACAGCACACTGTTCTCTGTCCTAATGGCAACCATGGGTTCTGTTCCAAAGAGAACTACATGGGAAAGCTCAACTCTATTCAAACCACAGTATCTTAAAACCTCCAAATGGTCAGAACCGTTATTATCTATGTATTACAATTAATCCCCTGTTTCAAAGTATTCTTAAGGTGGCTGTAGAAAGATTAGAACTCAGAGATACCCACCATGTTCCCAAAGAAAATGCTTCACATACACAAAAATAACAACTTGACTAAACCTGAAGAAACTTTAAAAGGCATTCATTTAGCAGATTTGTATATGCAGGTATTGTTTCTCAAAAATAGCTATAAGAGTATCTGTAACTTCATATAACTGATGAGAGAAGGGGAGAGTGCCTTACATCTTTCTTTTCCAAAGTGTTGCTTCATGATTACCATCTAAACCCTGCTGGGCTGAACAGATTGGTTCGATAATTACATACAATAACTGCAGTGGGCAGGTAACCCTCAGCTGGCACAGGGCAGCTCCCCTGTGAGAACTTCCATATGCAAACTGTACTGATGGAGTGCATTAGGTACATCTTTCCTGCCGGTGCACAGGCCTGATTAACGCCAGCCAAGACTCCAAGGTTAGCATGTCAGCAGATTTGTGATGCATTAGGCAGGAATAAACACAGACACTTTTGTTCATTCGGACCAAAATTAAGGAGGAATATTTCAGTACTATATTGCTTTCCATACAGGAAAGAATGCATTTTCCAGTTTTAGGAGGGCAGATTTTTAAATGCTCATTATAAAGGGAGCTATCCAATACATTCTACCCAAGAACCTAGTGCATTCATCTTGTTTTCAAGCTTATTTAATAAAAAGGAGCTTTCTTAATCTCCATGCAGGTAAATTACACAGGAATGAAAATCAGACAGTATTCAACCAACAAAAGAAACACCTGTGTTTTAAGCAGTATGCATTAGGTAAAGCACTGAATTTCATTAATCCACACTTCAGCTGAGTATCTCCTGCCCAACTTTTCTGACAACGTATGTAGTTTGGACAGAAAGGGTCAATGATGTACAGACGAAGACCAATTAAAAAAAAACCTGCAAGTTTAATAGTATCTAAGTATGTTATTCACTTTATAAAGCAATGAGTAACATTCCAAACAATTTGCTGCCAGCTTCTTTCTCCTGATTATCTCCAAATGCTTCATATGTTGTTATTTGTCAACATCTCAGGCTTCAGATAGTGCATATTTTGGTTCTCTTTGAACAGAAAACGGCTTTGCAAAGTGACTATGCTAATCTCTGATTCTGTCATATTCCATACCAGGTCTCACAGGTTCCTTTATTTGCAATTATAAATGAAACCAAAATATTGTACGACACACAAGAATAACATAAAATAAACAGGACAGAGTTTTCGTTTAATTCAACACGGCTAAACTATCTTTAAAAAATTAGGTTTATTTCAAAGGGCATTAGCGTATATATTACAAATTGTAATTTTGAAGTGTTCAGATATGCTAGGCTAAAATTTAGTTAATTAGCAGCTTCTCACTTCCAATTTAGAAACAGGAAGACAAATCAGCTAGATGCACTTGGACTGAAAATTTACTAATAGTCTAAACACTGATTGGAGACCAGGTAGAGACTTAAAACTGTTTTAAAGGAAAAGGAGAATAAAAATCTTCAGGGGCAAAAAACGAAGACCAATTTTTCGCTTCCCAAGCCAAACATCAAAAGATCACTTCTAGATGCTTTCAAAAGCCTCTTAAAAGAGCCAATCAGATTCATGGCTATATCAAAGGAGATGGGTATTCAGGGACTGTTGTTGGTTTTTTCCTCTTTTTACAAAAGTCATAAATGTTTATTATCAAAACTTAGAATATATAGCCTACAATTTTTAAATGTTTGGTACCGTATATGATTCAAAGCACTGACTGCACTAATCAGTTAGTCTTATTTTATTTATTTAAGGCCACTTGAAATCATCATGCAAATGTATACAGTTTACAAATTATTATTACCTTCCTTAATGGTAACCAAAAATAGAATATTTGTTACTCAATAGTAACCGAAAAAAAAAAAGATAAAACATATCTTCCACGAAGGTAAAGCAAACATGTGTTACACCACAATATTTACAAAATCAGTGGATTTCGTTAAAATTCACTATATAGACAGGAAAAACTGAGGCTGGGGACAGAAGAAAGCTAAGGGACTCTGCTCAGTGTTTCTCAGCTGGTGACGGTGAAAGACTAGAACTCAGAGCTCTTTGTCCTTATCAATTTCCTTCCACAGAACTATGCTGCCTCCCTATGTGACTTGTTGGTAGGGAGCAGCAGTTCCCAGCTGTTGTGCCTCTGTTTTAACACACCCATCCCTTCCTAAGGAGTTACAGTACACATATATATGTACTTGGCATACCTTATTCCACACTCTTCTCTGTTTCTCTCCTACTTCTCTCCTTCGTTCTGCTCCCTGAGGGCAAGCAATATGGTTTTCCTCATTTGTCAAACCCTCACTGAGTTTAGCGTGGTATTTTACACATAAATATCTATGGATCTGCACCTGCTGAGCAACTATTCAACTACTATTGTAATAACAGAGAGATAACTTCATATTTTACCCAAGCCCCTCAAAAACTGTGCAGTATTTAAATGGACATGAAGTAACTACACATAAGTTTTGAGGAAAAGGTCAGACATAATTGGAAGGAGAAGAAATGAAAAGATGGGAAGTGGGTTAGGAAATGAATAAGTAACTTAAAAAGAGTGGCAGATGAATTTGAAGAATAATCTAAAAATACTCTGCTAGAATGCATTAAAGTGATTATTTTAAATGACTTTCAGTGATAAAGCCTACAGTAATAAGAATAATGAATACTGCAATTTCCTTCCACAATAACACTGCCCTCCATCTTTGCAGAGGTGAAGAGCACCACACTAAGCAGCTACTGTGTGCCTGGCATGGTTACATGCTTCATTCTCAAGTTGAGAAACAGACACTACAAAACAGATTAAAGCAAAAGAGTAATTTTAGCTTTTATAAAAACATTAAACACACAACAAAACACACACAAGTTAAATTTCTAAAACTGTTTGTATTTATGTAAGCCCTATAAGAAATCACTTTAGAGTTGTGTAAATTTAAGTGTCCAGTGTAATCCCACATACATGGAATTTCATTCCATGAAGTATCAATCCATACGTAAATGTAACACATGCATGACCTCATGGTCAAACTTGGATTTTATTTGTTGTTGTTGCTGTTTAATTGTTTGTTTAAATTTCTATTTCTCTCCTATCAACACTGTTAGTTACCTACTCTGGAATCAGGAAGAGAAGTACAACTTAAGTAATTTTCTAATTATTAACAGTTCTGGGGGAAAGGGTTTAGCAAAAGATGATGTTTAAACACACGACTAACAAAAATTTGAAATATCTATTTTCTTCACTAGTTCAAGCTAGCCCACTCTGATACCATGAAGAATGAAGAATTTACTGTAATTATCTAAAAATGGTACACCAAAAATTACTGCTAATTCATGAGTTTGCCAAAATACACTGATGCATTTGTAGACTCTGTCAGAATAAAGAAATAAATGAAAAAAACTTCATCTAGTTGGCAATCAGAATTGATTGCC